TCTTTAATGAGGTTGCGATAAAAATTATTGCAGGCGGCACTATGGCCAGAAATGACCAAATAAACTATAAAAACCGATATTGCAAGTAAGTGTTTTAACGGTTGTGCCAACACTGTGGAGTTCTTTAGAAGCAGTCTAGGGAAGATTTAAGGAGAGCAGGATAACCTGCGGGAGAAAATGCAGGAATTCACAAGTTTAAGTAGTTCAATACATGGCACTGAAATAGTTTGTCTTTGAGCTTAAACGAAGGTTTGCTGACCTTGCGCGATGATTCACAGGAATGCTTGTCCCAAGCGAGTGTTTTTGAGCTAAAACGATGCGATGAAGCCATGTAGATGGATGAGCATGGGCCGTGGAACTGATGATTCTCTGTTTGGTCCAAGTCTGACCGGTTGCCTGACTTGCACCTGCAATGAGGTTCAGTTTGAAGTATCCGCTATGCGAATGTACAACGGCGAGCAATCTCAGTCAGGACTGCGATTAAGGTTGATGGGCACCTTGGTCTATTCAGCTACTGAGAGCTTAACTGAAGCCGAAAAATGTTAAGGGTCTTCTATCTATGGCATTGCACGCTGCGACCGCATTCTTGTTTGGTAGTGCTTTTCAGGTAGAAATTGGGAGAATGAAGCACTAAGTCAGGGGTGTCCAAACTTTTCGCAAGGAGGGTCACATTTTGAGGTAAACATATGGCGGGCTAAATTCAGTCTCACATTAAAGTAATAGCAAAATTTAACCATCTCATACATTTTTATTGAAGGCTTTTTATGTGAAGGAATAAACTGCGAACTTGAGATATTAATTTTTCGATATAGTTAAGACTCCTATAGTAGAGGCACTAGGTTATTGTTTCCTTAGTTAACATTAAACAGTACATTACTGATTTTTACCAGCATCTGACGCCTTCGCATTTTGTACACATCTCTTCCGTAACATTTTTGTAATCTGTATAATATCGTCAGTAAGAAAACATCTAAGCTGGAATTTCGTATCTCAGGTTGTGGTCGCGGGCCACTTGAAATATTATCGCCAGCCACCTTTGACCCGCGGACCAGCTTTTGGACATCCCTGCCCTAAAAGGAGTATTGTCAGCAGCTTGGTGACTTAGAGGTGAATGCTTTGACTGGTAGATCCAGCTTTACTAATTCGAGTCGCAGACTTGTATGTCCGCTGCACGAAAGCATATAAATATGAACCAGCTACACCCAGCATCTCTACATTTATCGCATTACCTACGCTCATTAATATAAGGCAGCAGCTCATTGAATTTGGAGAAGTGATCGGCAACTGACGTCCAAGGAAAAGGAAAAAGCCCAATTGTATCTTGTCGGCGGGTAATAACTGGTGGGGGACACACACTAATTTTACAGATACGGTTCAAAGACCTGTATTCACTTGACTAGGACGTTTGGGGCTATTCAGTAAAAGCCAATTGAAAACACACGGTTTGTATAGTAAAGGCGACGTCTCGCTTTTGACAAGTAGCTGTCGTATAAACTGAACTAGTGGAAGATTGGTACAGCATTGATACCAAAGAGCCTAATCGTGACAACCGAAAGGTAAGTCTGAAAGTAGTTCTGTTACAGCACAGCATCATTTCAAGTAGGACAATGAACATGCAGAGGATCCAAGCCGTTCCAGCACTGACGCGTTCGTTTGTAACTCGATGTCAGGGGTGGGAAACATAGTTGCTTGTGTTAACTCACCAGCCTCACGTATCCGTCATTTAGGATGTAAAGGAAGCGTCTTTTAAGATACGGTTATCATGAACTTGTAAACGCGTCTTCATGGTTGGCGGCATCCGGTTTCGGATTTGCCTGTCACTGTGGCCTCCACAGGGACAGCCACAGGACGCCTGCGCCTACCGAGTGACCGTGGATGGCTTGCGTTGCACCACCCACAGCTCCATCCACACACCCCATATCCAGTGTAAACCCGAAGGAATAAGACCGGGAGGCGTGTGGGTGGGAGCCACGTTACATCAACGGAGCCGGCCCACACCCCTACACAGGTAAACACAAGCACGCTGTATTTGGGGAATCAAGCGCACACAATGCGGTGGTTGGACAGTAGTCCGCTCCACACTGAGTGCATGGAACCACTCTTTGAGCCTAGCACGGCCACAAGGACCGTGCACCCCGTCCCCTCCAGCAACGATCAACTGCCTCCTGTAGCCAGTATCGACGAGATAGTGCGTATTAGACAGGTAGGCACCGTGTCAACATGCACATCAAGCGCAGACACATCGGGGATATCAAGTGACAGCCAACCAATTGAAATGACCAGATGAAATAAAATAAATCGGATAATGCATACAGATACGGTGGAATAACTCTTCACTAAACCAGCATATGAAATTAATTGGTTGAGAACGAATGCGCGATAATTTCAAGACGTCAGTAAATATATTTTAAGAAAATGCCACAAACGCAAAATTGTTATCGAAATTAACTACAATTGGCTTCAGCGACGTGTACAAGTTTAAAGAAGGTAGTTCAGGTAGATATTTATATAAGAAAGAAAGGCATTAGGACAATATAACCAACCCACAACCTGGAATAAATTGACTTAGCATGCATGCACGCGGTTAGTAAATCGAATGCAGCGTACTTAAAAACGCTGCGCCGGTTCTGCCTGCGTTCGTTGCATGACCCGTCGTCGCTTCTGTAGTGGGTTGGCCTCGAGTGGCCTTGCTTATGGCTCACTAGGCCTGCCGGACTCAGGCACTCGCGACCGCATGTGCTACAGCACCATGCGCTCGATGTCGGTGTCTGCCGCTTCCGCACTTGCTGCTTCTTCGCTGATTGTGTGAGGGATTTTTCCCATAAACTTGTCTTCATTTTTCTTTAAAAAGTGCGTGGTGGCTTCTTCTACAATGACTTGGCTGAAAACACGTTTGTTTTAATAGACGATCAAGAAGTTCCCGTGTGTGAGTCCTATTGTGCTATCACCATATGGTTTTCTGACGTTCCCTCGATGTTTTAGATCCATCTAATTGAAGCTTCTCGGACTGGCGGGATCACTGTTGTACACCACATATTTCATAGCTACTGTTGATCTGGTGACTTAGAAAGCTTCATTAAACAACATTTGGGTTTGATAGAAATTGCACTTTAATGATATCGACGTTATTCAAGTCGACTTTATGCTCCCCGTGCAAGCTCCCTGCATAGCTACCGCATGCATAGCTACCGCTGAATCTTCTAATGGTGTCATACATTCAGCCGCATTCGTCAATGGAACAATCGTTTGTGACGATCAAAATGGCATAGGCTTAACAGGTTTCGTAGGTTGGTAATGACAGAAATCGTAAATCGAACACTACATAAGTAAAGTAAATAAAAAGTACGCATTGGTGAAGCGACAAAGCAGTGGGGTTTAGAAGGAGAGTTGTGCGAGTGACGCTTTACCAGGCAAAACGAAATAACGAAAAGTTACGATTGATACTCATTGCAAATAGCAATCTGACTGCTCACTCCTGTGCCCAAATTTACGTGTCACTTTGGGTTACAGTTCCAAAGACGCTATTTAACCTGAATATAAACGAAATTTCTGTTTACATAAGCGGATGTAGAGAGCTCAAGTTGATAGCCAATCGTTTTTTTCTGAAAAAGCACAGATAAATAAGTTTGGATGGGTGTTCCAGGGTTCGTATACTCAGAGGAAGAAATGTTTTATCAAGCATTCAGATTACTGTATTGTTCACTCCGTTGTAGGTTGTTGCCTCTGAGGTTGGTATTCGGGCTAAGGTTCCAAAGGTGGCGGTATACGTGACTGGCGTCGCTAAGTAATTGGTAAACTAAATGAGGTCTTCATATAGCGTCCACTGCACACAGGCTTTCTTCAGTCGTTGATGCTACGGAGGGTTGCGCAAAACCTTGATAAATTTCGTTGCTCGAGGTTGGGGAGTTTCGAGCACTGCGACGTCATGCTTTAGTCAAGCAAGCCATGCTGGATTGCATACTCGCCGTGTGATGCGTGTGGGCATTGATCGTCAAAGAGCAGACGAGTGATTCCAAACTCTCGAATGCTCTCTACAATAGACTAAAATGCTGGTTACCGCATTTTGGTGCAGACTCTGATTCGCTGGAGTAACCAATGTCGTCCTGGACGGGCACACCGAGGTCAATTTCCTGAGAGCTCGGCTGCTGATCGTGCGCTCTAAGGTGGTAGACGTATGTATGTCGATGGCGGATATGGACAACGCTGCGCTTGTCTACACTGAGTGGCGGCGCGTTCCTCAAGGACCAAATCCAGACCACAGCGGTCTAGATTTAGGATCTCGTGGTGGCCCAGTACCTTGATCATCTTCCACAACTTAACCGCGTCGGCGTAGAGTGAAACTTTTGTAGTAAGTACTCTCGCTACTCAGTTAATGAAAACTGAGAACAGATGTGGCCCAACTACCGAAAAATATGGTGCGCCGCACTCCACTGGAATATGGTCAGGCAGGGATGTTGGACTCTAACTTCCAGATTCCGTTCAGAGAGAAAGTTAGCGATCCATCATATTACTGCATCTCCAATGCCGTGGTGCCAAAGTTTGTAAAGTAGGATTCGATGATGTAAGCGGTCGAAAGCTTTCGAAAAGTCCGAGTAGAAAACACCGGTTCCTGTCCACTCAGTCACAATGTAAAGCATATCTTTGGTTGTTCTTTCTTTGCGTGCATCTCCCTCGACATTTTGCATCCTTACACAGGTACAAAATCTTCGCAACTAAATTTAAGATGGGCCATGAGCCATCCAATCCAAGCGCACTAACCGATTATTTTTACACCTCATTGAAAGCTCTAGCTGTCTATCCGTTCTGAAGTATTCTAAGAAGTTGAATAAATCTCAGTTGCTTATTTAATGCTTTCAACCAATTCTGTATAGAGCTCACTTTTACACACCACCAAATCTTTGTCGTTTGTCATCGTTTTCTGTTAAAACGTATTACAATATGCACCACGTTTTAGAAGGTCGAACATAAACTATAGAATAGTTTTTTTCGATCAATTTCAGGAATATTTCTACTTGACCAGCTGGGGCTTTTGAGCATTGCGACAATACTGGCAGTTATCAATAACAAGCTGTACCAAGCTCCTCAACTGAACAGCTGGCAGGACTGGATCTATGTTTTGGCTGGGATCAGCAGAGACAGAGAGCCAGGTGACGTTTCCCAATGGTTAAGGTGCGACCCGTACCCTAGTGCCTCTACTGTATTTGGTCAGCGATTTCCAGAATCTCACACGGAGCTTCGTGATACATTATGCAACCCATCGTATCGGGAACACAATTGCTCTTTTAAAGGTTGCCCGCTGAAAACGGTAAATTTAAATGCGGTGCCCAAGGATACGAAAGTCAAAGATGATACCAGGCGAAACTGTTCCAGACGTAGGCTAGTTTTGGATTATCTGACAGCATCAGATTCTGAGCTGGATTTGTCTCACTCCGACTCCCCCTCAGTCACATCCTCAGGTCCTAGAACATATGCTCCTGTCGTCGGCAGGGATGTCTTTCAGCCAGGCACTAATGGATGCGTGTTAAAGCCATATAGCACTAAACAACAGATAAGTAGGCGCACAAACCAACCCAACGTTGTTTATCCCCACCACGACCTCAGCAACCATGTTGGAGGCAGAGGCTTTTGGGAAGCAGATTGTGACTCATGTGTTGCAAAATCCAGACATGGTAATTCCTTCACACAATCCCCTTGGGTCGTGCCTTTAACAACAGATGCGTCTCAAACTGGCTACACTACCTGTCGCACCACCTCTCCCGATGAGCCGGATGAAGTGGACCGGTTTTCGTCTGCCGAATTAATTCATGTTACAGCTGCAATAACAGCTGCAGCCACAATGGCAGTAGCAAAGATGCTAAATTCTCCTTGCGGTTCACCAATATCACTGACAGAAACGCAGCCCAACGTGGCAAGGAGAAGAAGGACTGGCCGATGGACGCATCCAGCTTGCAAGCAAAACCAAAGTAACCCATCGTGGACAAACGAGGAGAAATTAATCAGGCATGAGGATTTAACTCGGATTACTCTAACCGCTCAACTCGCAGCTTCCGCCGTTACTACTGCTTTCAAATCTGCTCGACCAACACACCGAAGCCAAAAGGAACCAGTGGCCGCTTACCGGTACCCTAATTGTGGTCGCAACGAATCCAACAGGATACATTGCTGCGGGCCTCGATTCCGGAACTGCACAGATGAAACCCATTTGTACCCGTATAGGAGGCTTGCTTCCAAACTGGACTGCATTCAAATGGCATCTTATTTGATTTTATCCACTATCAATGCATTTGTCTGTTTGGTCATAATGCCTGTTTGCACACAGGAAACGCTACCTCCGAAACAGTGGATTATGTAGTAACACACATCCGTGCCGTTCTTCCCCTTATTGATGGACTAATGATGAAGTTAATATTACCTGAAAAGCTGGAACTGATGACATCAACATCAGCAGTTGCCAAAATGGTGATAGAGAGTTGTGGCAGCGAAATAACATGATGCTGTTCGCGAACCTTCATGGATATCGCACACAAAATGATGCTGTTGTTGTGGTTTTTGTACAGTTTGATTTTCCTGCAACCTGGAAATTAGATTAAACAAGGTATTTATTATTTTACGGTGTGTCAGTCTACTTGTAACCGTTTTGGCCTGTATCCGTTTCAAGGCTAGTATGGTCAGTCTGAAGCACGTGTTGATGAACCAATTTCGATACACTTTTAATCTTGACCGTGCTTCGCACTAAAGTCCGACAAAATTAATTCAATCACAGAGGTAACCATTACACAATTAAGTTTGTGATTATCAGCGTTTTACAATAGTTACTGCGTATGTACTGAAGTAACATCATGAAAAATGAAAGATTGCGCAACTGGACAAATGAGAGGTGTCGTTCGGATAAATGGTCACGAATCCGCATCCTATTGACGGTAAATTGTCAAAGCCTAGGTTGTCGTTCCGAAGTAAGATTCATGAAGTCACATAACGCCTAGTGATAAGTTCCTGCAGTATGATCAGTTTCTCAAAGTCCATTTCCAAAAACACGGTGGAAGACCGCATTAGTGACTTTGCAAGTGGTCTAGCTAACTATAATGTCAAAATATTTAATGAAAACTGATAAATTTCAAACAAGATTTCAGTGGAAAGGAAAGGTTGGTTTAAAGGTCCTGAAATTGTTAGGTGATAAATGAACATTGATTGTATACTGGTTGAGAAGTACTGGTTTACAAACCCCTTTGGTTGTCTGGTACAAAAAGCGGAAACGACAAATTGTGAAAATAGTTGGCACGATTTTGACAAAGTCTGATGTATCGTTTTTCTTGTCTCTGATGCAGTGGTGCTGTGTTTCTCGTAATTCCATTGCACCTTATTTTCCACCAGTAGAACGGAAGGACAATGATGTGTAGGAAATCATAGCTGGTTGAGTGCCTCTTCCGATTGCCTTCTAAATATGCTTAGTATTGTCGCGAAAAGCGACCAATTCGGAGAGCGCTTTCTAGAGATTTACGAGAATAGAAAAGAAATGTCGGCTCCAAGGAATAACTTCTTAGATTGTTGTAATAGCTGCAGTAAAGAGTGTCTTATGTGCTTCGGATCGTGTAAGTTCCTGTAGGCCATTAGCAGGTAGGCTGGTAATAGACGATGCGGTCTACTGTATACTACCAGACATTTTAGCTCTTCTTCCTATGAAAGATTCCTCATTCCACTAACGAAATTCAAATGACTCCAGAGCAGTGAGATCGTGCTTGCTTGCAACTGTGCACACCAGAAACCGGTTCAGGACTCAACTGTGCACATCAAGTTAAAACGATAAACGTCTGACTAGAACCCAGGATGTCGAGATCACAGGCCGTAGCATTACCTCAGTTGTTACCCACTGGCAACAAACGCTTTTTGTGGGTTCAGCTAAAACACCAGTTGTGTGATTCCATTGCGGCATGCGAACTCATGGCAGAGCAAGACTAAGCTAGATAGTGTAAATCATTCCTGGTGCTACTGGGACGCACACGAGAAAAGACTTACTCCGAAAATCTACATAGATGCGATAAAAGTTCTTCGGTGCATCCACAAAAATGCTGCCAAATAGTGCAGGTTTATTTGATCCATCATGCAATGTATTGGAAGGAGTCGATGATACAAAGAAAAAGTGGTACAATGAAGGCATTCAGTGAGAATGATTTTGCCCGATGTCATCGATAACGCAGTGTTCATCACAGCTTCATTGTGACCGCGCATGCCAGAATACACAAAAGTAAATTTTTATTACTAATGCGTCCGCCCTCTTTATCTCGAAGACCTTTAGCACAGATAAAAATGTCATCAGAGAAACAACGGCATCCTGAGCCTGGTGCACAGCCACCTAAGTTTCATCTGAACGAATCTGATTAAGGAATCGATATGTCCGCAAGCAGCAGCATTTAAAATGTTTCCAGACGCGAACTCTTGACAACCGTGACAGATAACCTCCACGAACTAACGGGAAACCCCTTGTTCTCTCGTTCGGTTTCCTCCAGCTGTTGGAATAATTACCTGATTCTTGATGCGAAAGAGAAGCTAAAGTCAGAGCTAGCTCATTGTGCCAAAATACTAATAAAAATTCAAAAGATGCCCTTATTCTGTTGGACTGCATTTGACCGAAAAGAACAAAGTTTGTTCCTTTCCGTGCACAACATGGCATTGAGAATGTACAACTTGTAAAATTTAGAAAGCATTGCAGTTTAACGACACTCACGTCGGAACCGCAAACATGTTCGTTGAAAAGCGTATTCTGCCAACTGTGTTCTTTCAAATTAGGCTGAAAATTTCAGAAAGGCTGGAAAACAGCCATTTGTTATAGTTTGTGGGCAACGTTTTGCTTTTGACACAAAAGCCTCATCAGACCGAGTGAACAGTCGAGAATTGGTACAGCACTTATAGCGGACTGGGAAGATAATCGTGACGAATGGGATGTAAACAGACGCTCAGTCATGTTACAGATCATAGCCTCATCGCAATGAGGCTTGTCCATCTTAATGAGGCTGGACCTTACCGTGGTGCGATGGTTTGCGTGCTTCAGAGATCCATTGAGCAATGCTGGGTGCTGCTATTTTTGTACCGTTAGAGCCACTCATACCAGATTGGGCAATGGTTGGAGGCCCAACAAACTCAGCCTCCTGGACCTCCAGGTTGGGGGTTGGAATGGGGGTGGCTCCTCATTTCATAAAACGGGCTCTGTAGTCCAGTGCCAAAACCCGCTGCGTTGCGGTAATGTTTTTGAACCAAAGGCTTTGGTTGAGAACCCTAATCGTTCTCCTGTCTAGGCCTGGGCAACCTGACAGTATTTTGCCCACGCAATACAATGAACCTTTCCTACAACAATTTCTTGATGCGCTGGCCGTCGCAGAGGATAATAAACGGTGCCCTATCTGCTGCATCGAGCAGGGTGGATAGGGGTATGGATGCTACTGCTCAGGCCATCCTGTCTTCTTATACCCCTTCTTGCGCTTCTTCATCCTTATCGTCCCGCTCCAACTTTACTTATATCCCCCCATTTTCAATCCCCCAATTATTGGCCCTCCCCCAGCTTACTTCAATAGTCGCTTGTCTTCTAATTTCAAATCATACACAATCGCAGGGCCTCGCTCCAATCCAGTCGATAAGTCCATGTTCAACCAAGCGGACAACGTCAGTTCATCCGTTTCCCTTTGGAGTCCTCGTGTCTCGCTAAGACTGGCATGCCTCAAGGTGCGCACTTTGCTACAGATTGGTCAACAGGCAGCACTTGCCCGCACACTAGAGACCCTATCAATCGATATTTGCTGTTTATCAGAAACACTCCCGCAAGGTTCGAGCTCCGTGCTTACACTGAGATCCCCCACATGCGACACTGGCGGCACATTCTCATTGCGCCTGTCTGGCGATGATGCAGCTTCAAATGCCGGTCAAGCTGGCGTCGGCATTGTTTTGAGTCCCCGGGCTGAAGCTGCCCTGATTGATTGGATCCCAGTAAACAGTAGGATGTGCGCCGTTAGATTAGCTGGTTCGTTCCGTGCTACGAAGTCGCGCGGGGACAAACGGTGCCTGTTTGTCATTGCGGCCTACGCCCCTACAAACTGTAGCACTGATTCGGTAAAAGATAATTTCTAGCAGCAACTTCACGAGCTCCTTCGTTACAGAAGAAGCACGGATACTGTGATGTTGGCTGGCGATCTAAACGCCCAAGTCGGAAAATTGTCCTCTGATGAGCTTCATCTGGGCGGCCAACATGGTGTAGGCTCTCGTAATGATAATGGTGAGCGATTGCTACAGCTGTATGAAGATGCTCGCCTCTTTCTCGCGAGCATTAACTTTCGACACAGCACCCGCAGAAGCGTGACTTGGCGGCCACCAGCCCCGGGCCAGTCATGGACGCAAATCGATCATATCGCGATCAGTTACCGCTGGAGAGGCTGTGTCCAAAACTGTAGCTCGATTTGGAGCGTGAGCGTGGACTCTTACCACGCACTTGTCTGTGCCGACCTCCTGGTGCGTTTTGGTGGACGTCCGCAACGTCAATGTGAATGGATTGACACCAGCCAGCTGGCGAAGCTAGATGTTCTGAATGTATACCAAAGTGCACTGACATCTAGGCTGAGTAAGCGCCCACTAAACACCGTTGAAGATCACTGGTCGCATATTCGTCAAGCGTTGCGGTTAGCAGGCATGTCTGCATGTGGCAAAGCAAATTACCAAACCGGACATTGGGTCTCTACACAGTCTCTGGAACTTATGGATGCTCGCCGATGTATTCCGGCTGGGAGCGAATACAATGAGGCTCGCAAAATTCTCAGGACAAAACTACGTGCTAGCCTGAAGAAGGACCGCGAAACCTGGTGGTCTCATCGTGCCTCTGAGATGGAAACAACCGCTGCCGTTGGCAATCATCGTAAGTTATTGCTTCTGATACGGGAAACAGGCAGCAGGAAAGCTGGTGTTAGCGAAACCATACGCGACGAGAGTGGACAGCTGATTCACAGCCTGTCAAAACGCTTGGAGCGTTGGGCTGAACACTTTGCAAGGCAATTTAACCAACCTGATTTATCACTTTCTCCTTCTGGCATTGAGCGCCCTTCTCCCTGGACCGTCTCCTTGGATCCGCCCTCACGCGCAGAAATCGAACGTGAGATCAGGCTGTTGAAATTGCATAAGGCCGCAGGGACAGATAGAATTCCCCCACCCCTCTTCAAATTCGAGGGACCTGCTCTAGTGGATGATCTACACGAGTTGCTAGTGAAACTTTGGGAGCAGGAGACAGTCCCGACAGACTGGAACCGCTCCGTCATTGTCCCAATTTTCAAGGGAAACTCCCGTTTGGAATGCGACAATCATAGAGGGATCAGTCTG